ATAGTAAGTAGGTTCTGAATGAGTTTGTGTGTTACATAGTAAGTAGGTTCTGAATCAGTTTGTGTGTTACATAGTAAGTAGGTTCTGAATGAGTTTGTGTGTTACATAGTAAGTAGGTTCTGAATCAGTTTGTGTGTTACATAGTAAGTAGGTTCTGAATCAGTTTGTGTGTTACATAGTAAGTAGGTTCTGAATCAGTTTGTGTGTTACATAGTAAGTAGGTTCTGAATCAGTTTGTATGTTACATAGTAAGTAGGTTCTGAATCAGTTTGTGTGTTACATATTTAGTAGGTTCCGAATCAGTTTGTGTGTTACATAGTAAGTAGGTTCTGAATGAGTTTGTGTGTTACATGGTAAGTAGGTTCTGAATCAGTTTGTGTGTTACATAGTAAGTAGGTTCTGAATCAGTTTGTGTGTTACATAGTAAGTAGGTTCCGAATCAGTTTGTGTGTTACATAGTAAGTAGGTTCTGAATGAGTTTGTGTGTTACATAGTAAGTAGGTTCTGAATCAGTTTGTGTGTTACATAGTAAGTAGGTTCTGAATGAGTTTGTGTGTTACATAGTAAGTAGATTCTGAATGAGTTTGTGTGTTACATAGTAAGTAGGTTCTGAATGAGTTTGTGTGTTACATGGTAAGTAGGTTCTGAATCAGTTTGTGTGTTACATAGTAAGTAGGTTCTGAATGAGTTTGTGTGTTACATAGTAAGTAGATTCTGAATGAGTTTGTGTGTTACATAGTAAGTAGGTTCTGAATGAGTTTGTGTGTTACATGGTAAGTAGGTTCTGAATGAGTTTGTGTGTTACATAGTAAGTAGGTTCTGAATCAGTTTGTGTGTTACATAGTAAGTAGGTTCTGAATCAGTTTGTGTGTTACATAGTAAGTAGGTTCTGAATCAGTTTGTGTGTTACATAGTAAGTAGGTCTGAATCAGTTTGTATGTTACATAGTAAGTAGGTTCTGAATCAGTTTGTGTGTTACATAGTAAGTAGGTTCTCAATTAGCTCCACCATTGTTCTAAATTCTTTTTTTGGGTTGGGGGCCCCAAATTCTTTTTTATTGACCATATTGGTGCTACGAAAATATAATTTCCGGTTGCGTCCCTTTACCATTTATCCGATTCGATAAGTAGTTGGCGAGTTGTTGTGCGCATGCCCGGACAGGTTTCTAATTTAGTTCTACCATTTTACGATATTTTGTTTGGGGTTGGGGGCCCTAAATTCCATTGTTTTCTTATTTGAACTATAAAATATAATTTCAAACAGAGCTATTGCATGGGTGGATGGAATTGAATCAAAGACAAATAACGACATTTCAGTTTCTGTGTTACATAATAAGCAGGTTTCTGAATTAATGCAACCATTTTAGAATATTTCGTTTAGGCAGGGGGCCTTCAATTCGCCTTGTTTTCTTAAATGAGCTCCATCAATATAATTTCAAACAGAGTTATCAACACAATCGCCCTAGAACAAATGCCCACAGACAGCAAATTTGAAGTAAGAGCAGAGAAAACACGTTTTTGCATTTTTAGTGTGGAGAGTATCTTTGTTATTTTGATATATAAGCTTGAATTTTGTGACATATTTTAATATCGGATATGACGTTCACCACGTGTTGTTGTTTTTAAGTGCCATCATTTAGTAGAAATTCGGAGTTGTTTTGTGTCATGAAAAGACATTTGACATGAATCGATGGTATCTTACTACATAGCTTACACTGACTGCACCACATTGCCTTCCTATGACATAACCATAGAGCCCCTCTACCACACAAACATGCAGTAACAGTAACATCCTACCACACAAACATGAAGTAACAGTAACAACATCCTACTACACAAACATGCAGTAACAGTAGCATCCTTGTACCACTGGCTATAGTTTATGCTTAACTTAAATGAAATAAGAATTGGATAAAATAGTGACAAAATATTTGAGGTGGGGAGAGTGTCTGACTTTTTTTGACACCCTGCGACAAGAAAGTCACGTCAAACTTGACCATACTTACGGCATCTTGGCCATGGAGATATGCCAGCAGTGAGTTGTGACCATCAGACAGGTCAAAGGTCATTATGAAAGTAGGCTCCCTATAAGTCGGCTTGTCCCGGCAGTTCTCACAGAGACTTTTCTTTAATCTTTCATTCCTGAGTCTGGTGGACAATTTATCACTGGAACATACATACAACAACACTATGAGGAATAGCAAAGAGGCTTAGATAAACACTATGAGGAATAGCAAAGACAAGGCTTAGATAAACACTATGAGGAATAGCAAAGACATGGCTTAAATAAACACTATGAGGAATAGCAAAGACATGGATTAGAGAAATATGAGGAATTGCAAAGACAAGGCTTAGAGGAAAATTATGAGGAATACCAAAGAAGAGGCTTGGAGAAACATTATGAGGAACAGTGGAAAGACAAGGTTTGGAGCAAAGCTAGGAGCAGCGTTTGGAGCAAAGAAGGACCAAGATTTCAAAAAAAGCTTGAAGCTTGGAAAACAGTAATTTATCCAATTTAAGTGCTCCATTTATTTAAATGTCCCTTATAGTTGTCCATTTATTTAAATGTCCCTTATAGTTGTCCATTTATTTAAATGTCCCTTATAGTTGTCCATTTATTTGAATGTCCCTTAAAGTTGTCCATTTATTTATGTGTCCCTTAATGTTGTCCATTTAATTATGTGTCCCTCAAAGTTTCTCCATTTATTTATGTGTCCCTCAAAGTTCTCCCTTATTTAACCCACGAACTGTGGTCGGCCGAAAAAAATGGCCGACGTTCTCATTCTGTGCTGTGGCAGCCGAAAAGAATCGGCTCATAAAAAACACAGTCCGGTAGCAACTTCCAATCCAATATTTAACCTGAATTTATTTATGTGTCCCTCAAAGTTCTCCCTTATTTAACCCACAAACTGTGGTCGGCCGAAAAAAATGGCCGACGTTCTCATTCTGTACTGTGGCAGCCGAAAAAAATCGGCTCATAAAAAACACAGTCCGATAGCAACTTCCAATCCAATATTTAACCTGAATTATAGCCACGTCCTTTTATTAATAATTAAATCATCTTCCGGGCCAAGCTGTTTCTTGATAACTTAAAAATAAATACTTTTTAATCAGAGTATTATATCGCTGTTTTTTTTAAAGCTAAAATGGTTTAAGCTATGGCTAGGCCTTCAGTGCAAGAACTGATATACATATGTTTGAAAGCTTTTTAGGGGAGGATTTAAGTGATACTGATTTTAACATTCCCCATGACGGTTTCAATTGAGATTACTCTTCTCGTGAATCTTATAACTAGTCTTAGTGATACTGAAGTAGGCCTACTGAGGCTACTGTTAGAGTTCAAGCCAGCCCCAGAGGTTGGGCAAGGACTGACTTAATTTTAGTCACAGAAGCTACAGAACTAATAAATTTTATAGTTAAACAACCCAAATCAGTTCCACAGTTCCTTTTTAAATTTTTACTAGTCACTAAGAACTAATTTGCCTGAGAATTTGTATTTTGTACTTAGTTTTAGCAGTGGTCCCAGTTTCTTATATAAATGACTTAAAATTACTTTCAGAGGTTTAATCAAAACCTTAGCAAACTATACATTTTCTGAAAGATTAATGACTTGGCTACCACATTTAGATTTGTTTTTTAAGTATACCGGGTATCTATAAAAATTAATAATGTTATGAGCACTTGAAAGCAAGACATTTTGTCAATTTTTTCTCTTGAGAACTCCAAGGTCAAGGACACTGAACAAATTTTTTTTTACACGGTGGGCAATATGGCCAACTTTATCCCCATCCATTTACCTTTCTAAAAATATATCCTTATAGGGGTCTTGCATCAATACTTCTATGTTGTTTAATGCAATTTCAAATGGCACTCAAAAAACTCTGAAAAGCTCCCACGGCACAGAACGATGCATGCCACAGTTCCTGGGTTAAATGTCCCTTTAAGTCGTCCAGTTCTTTATGATTCTTTTTAAAGGCAATCTCCTGTCTTGAGCCACCAGCCAAAGGGAAGTAATAACTAGACCCTACTTACGCAGTGCAGCATCTTTCACAGAAGAGGTAAACTAAATCAGCTGGGTTGGAAGGTCGTGGGCTGTAGCCTTGAACCTGAGCTTGTACTCTAAACTTGAATGGAGGTTCATGCTGCATTACTTGAGTGATTGTAGACACAGGAATGTGATGGTGGCCCACTATGGCTACACAAGAGACAATCGCAAAGATCACATTAGTTAGAAATCTATGGCTACACAAGAGACAATCACAAAGATCACATTAGTTAGAAATCTATGGCTACACAAGAGACAATCACAAAGATCACATTAGTTAGAAATAGTCTTATTCACCACACCACACACAATGTCCCAAACATATTTTATTGTGGATTTGATAAGTCTGCTACAATCACACTTATCCCATCACACCTAACTACCCCTCACACCAATCCCATCAGAACTATCCCATCACATCTAATCCATCACAACTAACCCATCACAGCCATCCCATCACAACCAACCCATCACACCAATCCCCTCACATCTAACCCATCACAACCAACCCATCACACCAATCCCCTCACAGCCATCCCATCACATCTAACCCATCACAACCAACCCATCACACCAATCTCCTCACAGCCAGCCTTCACCTCTAGCCCATCACAAGCAAACCATCACATCTAAGTTATGATCTGTAAGTTACTCAGATATTATTTAGTAACAAGCTTCCTAATCTAAATTAATTGTTTTAGAATGCACATCCTACTTGTAGCGGTCTTCAGCATACACCTCAGCTGTTCCGGTGTAGGCCCAGCCTCTTCACTGCTACTGGTCACTTGGCTGTCACTCAGCTGTGAGGAGGTTCCCTGTGTGCCGTCACTCATCCCACTGACAGTGTCTTGACTTGAAGCCACATAGTGTATTGTGTATGTGCCAGAATTTAGTGTTGGGTCCTGGCTCTCATGAGCAAATTTGATTTCGTTGAATGATGATAGATTCATATCTTGTCCATAAAGAGGGTCTGCTATCATTTCATCCTGAGATAATTGTTCCCTTTTTCTTTTCAAAGGAATGCTCTTTTTACTTGGACTCATTATTCTACCTGGACCAAGTTTTTTACTTGGACTGTTTTGTTTAGTTAGACTTTTTTGTTTAGATGGACTTTCTTGTTTAGATGGACTTTCTTGTTTAGATTGGCTTTTTTGTTTAGATGGACTGTTTTGTTTAGATGGACTGTTTGCTGGTGACTTCAAGGACAGCTTAACAGCAGATCTGAGCTTTGACTTAGGGGATATCTGTTCTTCATTCAAATCGTTCGCCACCGTGACCTGGCTTTCAGGGCTGGCGGCAGTGTAGAATGTTTCCTGAGAAGATGTTTGAGAACCGCAAGGTTGAACGGTTGATTTGCTTTCTTTAACAACTGATAAATGTTTCTTAAACTTCCCGGAAGATTGAACGTTTCCTTGATGGGATCTACGAGAAAATGTCCTCTTCTTCCTCATCTCTCGCTCGTAGTCTGAGTCGTCATAAGCTGAAACCCATAGTATCTGGCTCTGTGAGCTTGGATCAGATGAGTTTTCAGATTCCACTTCATCTGATGGATCAATTGACGCCACGTTAGCACAATGAGAATCTGATGGTCTGAATTCACTCATACTTTCCTCAACAGTTCCACCAGATTTTCTGTTAGCAGGTAACACTCCTTCCGCTTTTCCATCAACAGTTCCACCAGATTTTCTTTTAGCGTGTTTCTTTGATTGTTGGGGTTCAAGGTCATCCAGCTGTTCGCTGGGACCGCCAGCCTGCTTGAGGGGATGTAGAACAGACTTTAAAGTCTGCACATCTTCACAACTATCCTCCAGCACTTCGATCTTCCGTGAAAAGCTTGTCCCCCCATGCAACGTCAACTCGACCAGGCCGTTGACCACAGATGCGTGAAGGTTGGTAAGCAAGACATAGTCACCAGGCTGAAAGTGGTACAAGTTAATTCAAAGAATTTTCATTTTTTAACTGAAAAAAACAACATTTCAAACTTATATATAAATATTATAAATTGAAATCTAAACTTTTTATTATACGCCTGTATATTATAAACCTATATCTTATAAATCTATATATTACAAATCTATATAATATAAACCCATTTATTTTAAACATTTTTATTATAAAACAATTTATTATAAACCAATATATTATAAAACTATTTATTTTGAACCTGCATACTATATATATTATTTTCCTATTTTTGTTTAAATCTATATTTATATTGCTATTCAAGTATTTGTAAGTTAAATTGATTTATTTATGTAAGGTTTTAGAAACTTTTATGTAACACTGTATCTATAAACAAAACAACTTTTATGTTACGCTGTATCTATAAACTATGCAACTTCTATGTTACACTGTATCTATAAACAACACAACTTTTGTTACGCTGTATCTATAAACAAAACAACTTTTATGTTACGCTGTATCTATGAACTATACAACTTCTATGTTACACTGTATCTATAAACAACACAACTTTTATGTTACGCTGTATCTATAAACAACACAACTTTTGTTACGCTGTATCTATAAACAAAACAACTTTTATGTTACACTGTATCTATAAACAACACAACTTGTATGTTACGCTGTATCTATAAACAACACAACTTTTATGTTACGCTATATCTATAAACAAAACAACTTTTATGTTACACTGTATCTATAAACTACACAAATTTTATGTTACGCTGTATCTATAAACAAGACAACTTTTATGTTACACTGTATCTATAAACAAAACAACTTTTATGTTACGCTGTATCTATAAACAACACAACTTTTATGTTACGCTATATCTATACACAAAACAACTTTTATGTTACACTGTATCTTTAAACAACACAACTTGTATGTTACGCTGTATCTATAAACAAAACAACTTTTATATTACACTGTATCTATAAACTACACAAATTTTATGTTACACTTATCTATAAACAAAACAACTTTTATATTACACTGTATCTATAAACTACACAACTTTTATGTTACACTGTATCTATAAACAACACAACTTTTATGTTACGCTGTATCTATAAACAACACAACTTTTATGTTACACTGTATCTATAAACAACACAACTTTTATGTTACGCTGTATCTATAAACAACACAACTTTTATGTTACGCTGTATCTATAAACAAAACAACTTGTATGTTACACTGTATCTATAAACAACACAACTTTTATGTTACCCTGTATCTATAAACAAGACAACTTTTATGTTACACTGTATCTATAAACAAGACAACTTTTATGTTACACTGTATCTATAAACAAGACAACTTTTATGTTACACTGTATCTATAAACAAGACAACTTTTATGTTACGCTGTATCTATAAACAAAACAACTTGTATGTTACACTGTATCTATAAACAACACAACTTTTATGTTACCCTGTATCTATAAACAAGACAACTTTTATGTTACACTGTATCTATAAACAAGACAACTTTTATGTTACACTGTATCTATAAACAAAACAACTTTTATGTTACACTGTATCTATAAACAAGACAACTTTTATGTTACGCTGTATCTATAAACAAGATAACTTTTATGTTACACTGTATCTTTAAACAACACAACTTGTATGTTACACTGTATCTATAAACAACACAACTTGTATGTTACAATGTATCTATAAACTACACAACTTGTATGTTACACTGTATCTATAAACTACACAACTTTTATGTTACACTGTATCTATAAACTACACAACTTGTATGTTACAATGTATCTATAAACTACACAACTTGTATGTTACACTGTATCTATAAACTACACAACTTGTATGTTACACTGTATCTATAAACAAGACAACTTTTATGTTACGCTGTATCTATAAACAAGATAACTTTTATGTTACACTGTATCTTTAAACAACACAACTTGTATGTTACACTGTATCTATAAACAACACAACTTGTATGTTACAATGTATCTATAAACTACACAACTTGTATGTTACACTGTATCTATAAACTACACAACTTTTATGTTACACTGTATCTATAAACTACACAACTTGTATGTTACAATGTATCTATAAACTACACAACTTGTATGTTACACTGTATCTATAAACTACACAACTTGTATGTTACACTGTATCTATAAACTACACAACTTTTATGTTACACTGTATCTATAAACAACACAACTTGTATGTTACAATGTATCTATAAACTACACAACTTTTATGTTACACTGTATCTATAAACTACACAACTTGTATGTTACACTGTATCTATAAACTACACAACTTGTATGTTACACTGTATCTATAAACTACACAACTTTTATGTTACACTGTATCTATAAACAACACAACTTGTATGTTACAATGTATCTATAAACTACACAACTTTTATGTTACACTGTATCTATAAACTACACAACTTGTATGTTACACTGTATCTATAAACTACACAACTTGTATGTTACACTGTATCTATAAACTACACAACTTTTATGTTACACTATAAACAACAATGGCCAATTTCAGCACCGTTTGTATCCTGTGTAGAAGAGAGGAGCAATTACCACCCCCCCCCCAAACAAAACTTTTAGAAGCCTTGCTCAACATTCTGTTTCTAATCCCACTGGTTGTTGGGCTCCGACATGGCAGTAGTAGCTGTGCCACTCTACAATGTAGGCTGTTGTGGACATGGACTCAACAGGATGTCATGACAATATCTTAACTCAAACTGTTTAGAGATCACTAAGAAAACCAATTCATATTTTTCTTTTTGGATTATCATTAAGCGACAAATGCTTTTTATTTGATTATTTATCTAGTCTTCTATCTGTTCATCTCTAAATGCTATACCCACTTGAATAATGCTGGCACCTGTGACATGGTTGTCAAAGAGAAAGACATCTACAGCCAAGTCCTTGGAGCATTGCATCAGCGTGTCATCCTGTAGGACGGCCGACTTCATGTCCTCCTTCTTCACAAACTTTAATGGACTACAACGAGAGAGAATGACAAAACTTGATTTAGCAACCACGAGGGAAACTTGGTGGGAAAGTCTTGATAGTAATAATATGCCTCAAAAATGAGTTAGTGATTAGTGTGTCAGGTGTAGCTCCAGAGGGTGGGGGCATTGTATTTGGTGTGAACGGGGTGGGGGGTATTTAAGATACACTGTATGCTTCACTGATTGGAAGAGATAGATGATTACATTGTACTGGTTCATTTCCAGCACAATAGTGTTAACCAGTGCTAAAAAGATATGTGTATAATGTGACAGGTGAAACAAGTGCTAAAGGGTATGTGTATAATGTGACAGGTGAAACAAGTGCTATAGGGTATGTGTATAAATGTGACATGTGAAAGAAGAGTTAAAAAGATATGTGTATGATGTGACAAGTGAAACAAATGAAAAAAAGATATATGTATCATGTGACAGGTGAAAGAAATGCTAGAAAGATATGTGTATCATGTGACAGGTGAAAGAAATGCTAGAAAGATATGTGTATGATGTGACAGGTGAAAGAAATGCTAGAAAGATATGTGTATGATAGAAAAACAAACCCATCAAATTTAGTGCCATCCCATACACTTATCATTTTACAGGTAGAATCCAGATCACAAATTCTCACAACCTGAAAATTAAAATGACAAAATTATTTCAAGAAAAAATACAGATACATCTGGAAAATACTGAAAATACTACAAATTGGTTTACTAAGTTAATAGTTGTTGAAAAGAAAAGGTTCTGCCACACAAGCCTATTCTTTGTGATAACAAATCTGAACTCTCCCATATAGAAACCTACACATGCAAAAAGTGAATTGCGCATTTGTACGTCAGTATGAAGTAGAACTATTTATAACAATTTGGATAAATAACTTTAAGACAAATGATTCCAAAATGAACCGACCTATTTACCTGACATACTACATTAAAGAAGCTGGTGGGTGTGGCTTGCCCTAAGGTTGTAGTTTTACTTGCTGTATACCAGTCCATCAGACTTTTGACCTGCACATCAATGTGCATGAAGTTAAGTGTTATCAAAAAAAGGAATCAGTTAAAATACAGTTGGACATCTCGTTTTCAGGACTCTTTGTACATGGTTTTAGGCAGTCTGTGTCTATGGTTTTTGGCAGTCTGTGTCTATGGTTTTTGACAGTCTGTGTCTATGGTTTTGGCAGTCTGTGTCTATGGTTTTGGCAGTCTGTGTCTATGGTTTTTGGCAGTCTGTGTCTATGGTTTTGGCAGTCTGTGTCTATGGTTTTGGCAGTCTGTGTCTATGGTTTTGGCAGTCTGTGTCTATGGTTTTGGCATTCTGTGTCTTTGGTTTTGGCAGTCTGTGTATNCAGTCTGTGTCTATGGTTTTGGCAGTCTGTGTCTATGGTTTTGGCAGTCTGTGTCTATGGTTTTGGCAGTCTGTGTCTATGGTTTTGGCAGTCTGTGTCTATGGTTTTGGCAGTCTGTGTCTATGGTTTTGGCAGTCTGTGTCTATGGTTTTGCTAGTCTGTGTCTATGGTTTTGGCAGTCTGTGTCTATGGTTTTGGCAGTCTATGTACTGGATTTTGGAGTCTATGTAGGTGGGGTTTTTTTAGTCTGTGTACATGGTTTTTGGAGTTAATAAATAGTTCAATTGAATAAAGTTTATTATATTGTAAAATGAATGATGTCATTACCAATGTGATTGTATAAACAATGTGATTGTATAAACAATGTGGTGGTGTAAAAACAATGTAATGGCAAAAACAATGTGATGGCATAATCAATGTGATGGTATAAACAATGTGATGGTATAAACAATGTGATGGTATAAACAATGTGATGGTATAAACAATGGGATGGTATAAACAATGTGATGGTATAAACAATGTGATGGTGTAAACAATGTGATGGCGTAAACATTGTGATGGTATAAACAAAGTGATGGCGTAAACATTGTGATGGTATAAACAATGTGATGGTATAAACAATGTGATGGTATAAACAATGTGATGGTATAAACAATGTGATGGTATAAACAATGGGATGGTATAATCAATGTGATGGCGTAAACATTGTGATGGTATAAACAAAGTGATGGCGTAAACATTGTGATGGTATAAACATTGTGATGGTATAAACAATGTGATGGTATAAACAATGTGATGGTATAAACAATGTGATGGTATAAACATTGTGATGGTATAAACAATGTGATGGTATAAACAATGTGATGGTATAAACAATGTGATGGTATAAACAATGTGATGGTATAAACATTGTGATGGTATAAACAATGTGATGGAGTAAACATTGTGATGGTATAAACAAAGTGATGGCGTAAACATTGTGATGGTATAAACATTGTGATGGTATAAACAAAGTGATGGTATAAACAAAGTGATGGTATAATCAATGTGATGGTATAAACAATGTGATGGTATAAACAAAGTGATGGTATAAACAATGGGATGGCATAAACAATGGGATGGCATAAACAATGTGATGGTATAAACAATGGGATGGTATAAACAATGGGATGGTATAAACAATGTGATGGTATAAACAATGGGATGGTATAAACAATGGGATGGTATAAACAATGTGATGGTATAAACAATGTGATGGTATAAACAATGTGATGGTATAAACAATGTGATGGTATAAACAATGTGATGGTATAAACAATGGGATGGCATAAACAATGTGATGGTATAAACAATGGGATGGCATAAACAATGGGATGGTATAAACAATGGGATGGCATAAACAATGTGATGGTATAAACAATGGGATAGCATAAACAATGGGATGGTATAAACAATGGGATGGTATAAACAATGTGATGGTATAAACAATGGGATGGTATAAACAATGGGATGGTATAAACAATGGGATGGTATAAACAATGTGATGGTATAAACAATGTGATGGTATAAACAATGGGATGGTATAAACAATGTGATGGTATAAACAATGGGATGGTATAAACAATTTGATGGTATAAACAATGTGATGGTATAAACAATGTGATGGTATAAACAATGGGATGGTATAAACAATGTGATGGTATAAACAATGTGATTGCATAAACAATGGGATGGTATAAACAATGTGATGGTATAAACAATGGAATGGTATAAACAATGTGATGGTATAAACAAAGTGATGGTATAAACAATGTGATGGTATAAACAATGTGATGGTATAAACAATGTGATGGTATAAACAATGTGATGGTATAAACAAAGTGATGGCATAAACAATGTGATGGTATAAAAAATGTGATGGTATAAACAATGTGATGGTATAAACAATGGGATGGTGTAAACAATGTGATGGTATAAACAATGGGATGGTATAAACAATGGGATGGTGTAAACAATGTGATGGTATAAACAATGGGATGGTATAAACAATGGGATGGTGTAAACAATGTGATGGTACGAACAATGTGATGGTATGAACAATGTAATGATATAGACAAAATGTATAGAAACATAAATGTTTATGTAAACTGTGAATAAATACAATATTCCAAATTTTTCCTTAATCAACCATCAAATAGTTTCAATTAATTAACGAAGGAAATGATAAGATTTTATTTGGTTAACCCTTAAACTACCAGGCGTGCCTTTTTGCAGTGACCTTCGTTTTTTCCTGTGGCCGAAGCTCATCTTTTTTCACCAGCCAATTTTTTTCCTTGTGGCCAAAGCTTGTCTATTTGCCACATAGAAGGTTATCCATATATATAAATTGCCAGAAGAAGTAGGGCAACCAGGAAGACGACCCAGGCTATATATAGATATGCCAGAGCAAGCAAGATGCAGGCAAACCCTCCGTTCCCTTCGTTGGTCTAGAGACATGCGCACTGCGGTGGAGCTACCGCCCCCCCCCCTGCACCACCCTCGCTTGCCAGCCATGCACGCACCCCAACAAGCTTGCGGCGTATGCTACGCGGCAGGTCGCCTAATCTAATATAAACACAAAAACAGGGATATAACCTGGGCTATAGTCTCGGACTGAATGTGTATTCGTTAGCCGAATAGTTGAATTTTATTTTGCCTTTTAAATTATGAAAATAGACCAATTACTGAGTTTTTTGTGCAGATCTGTATTAGTTGTTTCCATGGCGCCACCTAGCGCTATTAATTATGACGACCTACGCCCACTTGATGAAACCTTTTGTTCTGAAACCATTACTGAGCTTTAATTGGGAGTTAATGATTCTGATGCTGACGAGGAAGAGAGGGATGAAATTGTTGAAGGGTGTAGTCCTACTACAGCTCAAAATTTACGCCTACAGGAGCCTGTATGTTTGACGGGTTTTAGCCCTAGTCCCAACGTGGATATTGATTGAGATGAAGATCCACTGGACACTGTGCTAGCCTCACAATCCCCTAGTTTGGCATTCCCAATGAAAAGTGTGAACAAAACACTTTAGTATGTTTAACACCCTTATCCATTTCTAAACATATAATTCTCTACATGTTATCATCAATTGTTTAAAACAAAAAAGTTACAAAATAATTTGCAAACCTATCAAATTTTGGCTCATTCCATAATAATGTCTGGGCCACAAGGAATAATTAGCAAAATATTAGCCGGTACGGAGGCTATATATAGCAAAAAGTAGGTCAGTACTAGAAGGGTTTAAGTTAGATAATATATGAAGAAACGATTTTAAAAATGCTGTTTCTCCATTTTTGGCATTTTGAGATATTCGACTTTTTCTGCTACACAATGAGGGCTCAAATTTTCGGAAAAGTAAAAGTTAATTTAGGTTATATTATTCAAAATATAAGTTCGATTATGATGAAAATTGAAATGTAGGTTAATTAAAATGTATTTATTTACCATTTTCAATTTCTTATTTTGTTTTAAAATGCTGTGTATCCACCTATAAATTAGCGACAAAATGCAGTATGCTCTATATATATGCTGTGAAGGATTGAATGTTTAATAAATAACACAGCTAACTCTGTAAAGCAACTTTTTACTTTAATTTCCTTAGCACTTCTGATTTATGGGTTGCAATCCGGGATCCAGAAATTCGAAAATACCGGAATACCTGACCATAATTGATGTTCGAAAAAACCGGGATTGTATTTATGAAAACCGGGATTTTGACTTTCATTAAGATTTTGTATGGAAATAATAGCACGTAGAACTCCAATCACGGTGTCAATTTTAAAATATAAAAAAATTGTTGATTGTTTATTTATTTTAATTATGCCTAAAAACCTATATATTTAAAAATATGAGTAAATCAGTATTTTGATAATCAAATACCTTATGTTTAAGACACGTAAAAATTAAGTTACTTCTATTATGTGATAACAATATTAATAAATTACATTCACCTCATAATTGATTTTCGAGCTATTTTGTCTCAGGCTAAATTTCACAGTTTGTCTTTACGGTACTTAGCAATACATTTACATGAAAATTTAAACATTAAAAAAAAAAGTTGCACACGTTAACCCAATTTGATTGAATTAATAAATTTTTCTTAATGATTAATTTTCCCTTTAGATTGATAGAAAAAAAATTTGAAAAGCATATGAAACAATCGGAAACAAAGACATTAGTTTGTTATTAGTCTTGAAAGCTACGTACAATAATCAGCTAAAAGTATTAGATGTAACAAGATAATTAAAACATTAGGAGGTACAACTTCAGGCCTACACTCTCATTTAAAGTCTGCACATTCCAGTGACTACTTGGACGTATTTCTAAGGCCAGATTGCGACCAGATGCGAAAACATATCGTGGATTTTCAAAAGCTTTGTCAGACAGCTGCTTCCTCGTTGGAAATATCTATGATCAATGAAATTGACAATTAGAATTTGAAATACAAAGGAAACTTCAGGCACTGGATAATGCTTCCAGACCAACGGACCAATGGAGATTTTGATACTTTGGTAACAATAGACATGGCTTTAAGAATGGCGGTTCAAGAGGAAAATATCTAGAAATAGCGTATAATATCCTAAGGTCTATTCCTCCGACTAGTGTCTTCTCTTCATCAGGTTAATTTTGTAACCATTTGCGGTCAAAGTTAAGTGACCAAACATTATACACTTGGTCATTTTTACGATTTCATTATTTAAATTTGAACAAAGATTAAAACAACACCAATTATTTTCATATTAAAATATCAAAAGTTAAGACTATTATTTTTGTTCATTGGATTAAAGTCTGAAGTTAAACATTTGTGTTATTGTTAAAAGCTTATTAAATATTAAAATATGGTATTTTTTCTGAATTTTTTTATTTCATTGATAAATCCTAACCTTTAATCTTGATCCGAAAATATATACAGCATTTTGTTAATCAAAAAAAATTCACACGCGTTTTGAAAATAAAATCATTTTTAGACATAGAATAATATAGGATTAAAATGTGTTTTGTGGATAAACTTTAACATGTCCTAAAGAAACCTGGTTTGCTCTACAAGAATGTACAGTTATCTCATTTTTTTTAAAATGGCGGTACCGCGTTTTGAAAAACGACTCTTCATATGAAGGCCAGCATTGAAGTTCAAGGCCATGTGATGGAAATATTGGAACAAGGGTTGCTATGCACAAGAAGACTTTTGTATTCTATGCAACCACTTCAGCTCTGCTTGTTTATGAACACTATCATTTAATGAAGCTAGGCTCACCGAGGTGTTAGTGAGTGGGTCAGTCATCAAGGCGTTAGTGGGTCACCGAGGTGTTAGTAAGTGAATCAGTCATCAAGGCGTTAGTGGGTCACCGAGGTGTTAGTGAGTGGGTCAGTCATCAAGGCGTTAGTGGGTCACCGAGGTGTTAGTGAGTGGGTCAGTCATCAAGGCGTTAGTGGGTCACCGAGGTATTAGTGAGTGAGTCAGTCATCAAGGCGTTAGTGGGTCACCGAGGTGTTAGTGAGTGAGTCAGTCATCAAGGCATTAGTGGGTCACCGAGGTGTTAGTGAGTGAGTCAGTCATCAAGGCTTTAGTGGGTCACCGAGGTGTTAGTGAGTGAGTCAGTCATCAAGGCGTTAGTGGGTCACCGAGGTGTTAGTGGGTCCTACCTTATCTTCGTCTTGCTGCTCAAATGTGTATTTATTACTAGAAGATTGTTGATCTTCTACAGATCCTCGGAAGACAAGCCACTGAAAGCCTGGTCCATTGTAGCCCTGCAGACGTCCTTGATAGCTTTGAATCTGAAAATTTATCAAATAAACAGTGGAACCTACTGGTCTTTAGAAGTTATAAATGAAAGGACTGCTTTCAAGGGTTCTTATGCATTTTTATGATTTCTCTCTTTAGAAACCATTTTAATGATTTCTCTCTTTAGAAACAATTTTTATGATTTCTCTCTTTAGAAACAATTTTTATGATTTCTCTCTTTAGAAACCATTTTTATGATTTCTATCTTTAAGATAAGATAAGATTCTTTTATTGATCCAAATAAATGGAAATGTCTTTTGATTGCATTATACATCTTCAGCACATAAATAAAACAATTTGAAGACAAGACATTTATAACAAATTATCTCGAACAGCCATTCAGTGAGTTCTCTTAGCCAAATTGGGGACTTATTAGTTCTCAGAGGGAGCACGCCGGTAAATTAAATTCGTACAGATTGGGGAACAAAAGAATTTTTATATCTTTTAGTGCTCGCCTTGATGGAAAGAATTCGTCCCGAACTGCCTAATCCTAAGTATCTGTGATGAAGAGGGTGGGATGTATCATCCAAAATGTGTTTAGTTTTACAAAAATATCTTTCTTCAATAGTTCTTTGAGTGAAGGATGTCTAGTTTGCATTATGTTTCTAGCTTTCTTGATTAGTCCGTTTATGCGGTTTATCAGACGCTGATAATTTTTATGATTTCTCTCTTTAGAAACAATTTTTAGGATTTCTCTCTTAAAAAACCATTTTTATGGTTTCTCAGCATCAATAAAATATAAATTATGAATTTCACTTAAATTGATTGGTCAATGTAAACAAGAAAAATGTTAAATTGTAGCTGTCTACACTTGATTGAACTTTTAAAGCAAAGAATCAAAAGGACTTTAACCACATGTTTTCTGATAGACTAATGACAACTTCATAGACTGATAACAACTGCACAAATTAATGACAACTTCACAGATCTATGACAACTGCACAAATTAATGACAACTTCACAGATTGATGACAACTGCACAAATTAATGACAACTTCACAGATTGATGACAACTGCACAAATTAATGACAACTTCACAGATTGATGACAACTGTACAAATTAATGACAACTTCACAGATTGATGACAACTGCACAAATTAATGACAACTTCACAGATTGATGACAACTGCACAAATTAATGACAACTTCACAGATTGATGACAACTGCACAGATTGATGACAACTTCACAGTTTGCTGACAACTTCACAGATTGATGACAACTTCACAGATTGATGAAAACTGCACAGATTGATGACAACTGCACAGATTGATGACAACTTCACAGATTGATGACAACTGCACAGATTGATGACAACTTCACAGTTTGCTGACAACTTCACAGATTGATGACAACTTCACAAATTGATGACAACTTCACAGATTTATGAAAACTGCACAGATTGATGACAACTTCACAGATTGATGACAACTTGACAGATTAATGACAACTTCACAGATTGATGACAACTGCACAGATTGATGACAACTGCACACATTAATGACAACTTTACAGATCGATGACAACTTCACAGATTGATGACAACTTCACAGATTGATGACAACTGCACAGATTAATGACAACTGCACAGATTGATGACAACTGCACACATTAATGACAACTTTACAGATCGATGACAACTTCACAGATTGATGACAACTTCACAGATTGATGACAACTGCACAGATTAATGACAACTTCACAGATTGATGACAACTGCACAGATTGATGACAACTGCACAGATTGATGAAAACTTCACAGATTGATGACAACTGCACAGATTGATGACAACTTCACAGATTGATGACATATTTATGAATCTTGTAGACTACTACCTTGATGATCTACAATAAAAGTTAAATTATTCATTGTACCTGGGGGAAATCATGCAAATCTCATATGACTCACTCATAAGCCACACACACTTGTTTCCCTGTTACAGTTTTCCTAAACGTATGTACGTATATGTTAGTTCTAAAAACCATTACAATAATGTTAGGTTTTAAAAGTTGCGACTCATAGACAACCCACTTTTAAATAGATAACAAACTACAGAGTACAACTTCATTTTGTTGAGAATCATTAAAAATATTTTAAGTCATAATACACACCTTCAGTCTGTGAAATCGTACAACATGTCCAGGCTCCAGGGTGGGCAACTTGTTAGGGTCACGACTGAAGAGGTTACAGGTCAGCTTGGCATCTGGATCCTCAAGACTAGGGTCAACAAGGCTAACGAAACAGAAGTGGTCTGAAACAAAACCTATAAACTGTTGTATCATACAGTAGATAGTAGCATGCCATTCAAATTAAACTGTTGTTACGTATCATACAGTAGATAGTTGAGTGCTCATCAATCATTTTTTGTTAGTAAAACTAGAGGTGATTGGTTCACTGAGCTTATCTCAGGTCTGTCTGTACTTGTGCCAAAGATTCTATTTAATAAGAGTTAAGCTAAATAATTCAATTTGAAGAGACTCATGTTGTAACAAATAAATCACTGCAGCGGTAGGAAGAAAAGTTTCGATAGATTCAAGTTGTAATAAATAAATCACTACAACAGTAGGAAGAAAAGTTTCGATAGATTCAAGTTTTAATAAATAAATCACTACAACAGTAGGAAGAAAAGTTTTGATAGATTCAAGTTTTAATAAATAAATTACTACAACAGTAGGAAGAAAAGTTTCGATAGATTCAAGTTGTAATAAATAAATCACTACAACAGTAGGAAGAAAAGTTTCGATAGATTCAAGTTGTAATAAATAAATCACTACAACAGCAGGAAGAAAAGTTTCTATAGATTCAAGTTGCAATAAATAAATCACTACAACAGCAGGAAGAAAAGTTTTGATAGATTCAAGTTTTAATAAATAAATTACTACAACAGTAGGAAGAAAAGTTTCGATAGATTCAAGTTGTAATAAATAAATCACTACAACAGCAGGAAGAAAAGTTTCTATAGATTCAAGTTGCAATAAATAAATCACTACAACAGCAGGAAGAAAAGTTTCGATAGATTCAAGTTTTAATAAATAAATCACAACAACAGGAAGAAAAGTTTCGATGGATTCAAGTTGTAATAAATAAATCACTACAACAGCAGGAAGAAAAGTTTTGATAGATTCAAGTTGTAATAAATAAATCACTACAACAGCAGGAAGAAAAGTTTCGATAGATTCAAGTTGCAATAAATAAATCACTACAACAGCAGGAAGAAAAGTTTCGATAGATTCAAGTTTTAATAAATAAATCACTACAACAGCAGGAAGAAAAGTTTCGATAGATTCAAGTTGTAATAAATAAATCACTACAACAGCAGGAAGAAAAGTTTTGATAGATTCAAGTTGTAATAAATAAATCACTACAACAGCAGGAAGAAAAGTTTCGATAGATTCAAGTTGCAATAAATAAATCACTACAACAGCAGGAAGAAAAGTTTCGATAGATTCAAGTTTTAATAAATAAATCACTACAACAGCAGGAAGAAAAGTTTCGATAGATTCAAACTTTAATAAATAAATCACTACAACAGCAGGAAGAAAAGTTTTGATAGATTCAAGTTTTAATAAATAAATTACTACAACAGCAGGAAGAAATTTTGATTTAGAATCAAGTTGTAACAATCAAGTAGGAACAACTCTTCTTAACACGTACCAATAATGGTAATTTAATAAATTACAGCGAATGGTTCTCTTATAGCAGGCCACATTACGTTGTAATTGTCTATAGTATTGTGAATGATCCTCTAAACAGGTCCACATTCTAATAATAATAATAATATTCTATTGAGCCTACCTGTTCCACGACTTTGGATAGGGGGTTTGTAAAATTTGACAACGCCGTAGACGTTTACCAGAGTGTTTACTTCTACATCAGCCAAGGCCTTGTAAGAATACTGAGAAAATATCACAAGATAACCTTGACTTATTAATTAATATCATGACACAAAATACAATAATCTAATAATCTCATTTTCAAACACAAGATAATTTTTAATTCTCAACAGTCAAAAATTATGCGTATCGCAGATGTCAGTTGTTTTAGTTGCTTGTCACAACAGTAGTGATCCTAACAGCAGGAAGTCACAGTTTGAATTCTTAATGAACGCAAAATTAGAAAGTGATGTGCTCTAGATTGGACTTCTTAATGAACACAAGGTAAAAAAATCAATTAGCTTTAGATCACCTTAACAGATGTTTTGTTTGAGCTCAACATGGCTCTGGTTTCCTTGAATATCTGCAATATGAAGAAATATCAAGGTCATTGGACTAGAATCAAGTTCTTTGGTCTACATGTTATTGACCATTGGTTCTAATCACTTTCAAATCATTGAACTCACAAGCCCTAACAAACACAATCATTCACATAAGGAATCCACATAGTACAACTCAATATCCCGAGTCATGAATCCACATTATAGATCTCAATATCCACATAATAAATCCAGATAGCACCTCTCACTAATCCACAAAATGAGACCATATAGTCCACCTCACAGACCCGGTGACACTGGAAATCCCAAAATAGTGCAATAAAGTCTCAGAATTGTACTTGACCAACACAACATCATACAATGACCTATTTTAATAGTCAACTAAAGGCACTTGACCAACACAACATCATACAATGCCCTATTTTAATAGTCAACTAAAGGGTGAACTGGTTGTGTTGTAGTATGTTACGGGATAAAATTATCTCAACTAAAGGCACTTGACCAACACAACATCATACAATGCCCTATTTTAATAGTCAACTAAAGGCACTTGACCAACATGACATCATACAATGACCTATTTTAATAGTCAACTAAAGGCACTTGACCAACACAACATCATACAATGCCCTATTTTAATAGTCAACTAAAGGCACTTGACCAACACAACATCATACAATGCCCTATTTTAATAGTCAACTAAAGGCACTTGACCAACACAACATCATACAATGCCCTATTTTAATAGTCAACTAAAGGCACTTGACCAACACAACATCATACAATGCCCTATTTTAATAGTCAACTAAAGGCACTTGACCAACACAACATCATACAATGCCCTATCTTAATAGTCAACTAAAGTAAAGCCAAAAACCACGGCCATTTGCATGACTTCCAACGCGACGGAAAAAACGCAATAACATTATTATTTGTTGCCAAAAATGGATATGAGGTCTGGGTGGCGGTCTAAAACCCATTCCAATGACTAAAACCATGCGGCCGTGAGAAAGCTTTCTTCCTGACCGAACGACTCCCAGGGCGGTGGGGGTGGTAACGCAACACCTTTCCCCTGAGTGGAAGAAAAGCTGCCATTACCCACGGGAGAGTGGACCGCGAATGCTTTAAACGCAGTGTTTTCATTCAACTAGACATTCCCCAGACCAGGTGGGAAGTTCCCGGCGTGCTGCCGCGCTGTCTGTCGGCAGGGAGATCCGACGTCTGGCTTGTGTGAATGTGTACCAAGGGGGAGGGTATTAAGAGCTCAACGACCCACCTACGCCATTTTCAATGTGATGTTATTAATAGTAAAAAAATAAACATTCAGTATAAAGTATACAATAACTATTTGCATTGCATGTCTAATAAAGGTCACTTCTCAAAGTGGATGACTGACATTTATATGTTTATATAGAGTGCAGTACTGCAAATAAAAATGTGCCCATAATTTGCAGGGGGGGGGGGGGCAGAAATTGACGGGGCCCGCTAAGGCAGCTGGGCAAAAAAAGGGGGGGGGTTTGGGGAGGAGGCGATGCCCAGAAATTTTTGAATAAATTAAAGATAACGGGATGCACTTTTGAATATACCTGAATAAAGTTTTGCATCATTCTACAGTTAATCATAATTCTTTTGAAAATGTAGGTTCCTCATACCTAGCATTGTTTATAATAATTCCTTTTTATGTTAGTAGTTCCTAAATAGTGCAATTGTTTATAATTTATTATTAATTTCAATCTAATTTTTTCAAATCAGTCCAAAAATGGGACGGGTACATCAAAACGGCTGGTACCGTCCACAGAAAATGATGCATATGTCTAGATGTGCGTTTATGCGAAAAATTAAATTGAATTGAATCAATGAAGAAATAGGTTCATTAGTGATACATTCTGCGGGCCAAATATTAAAGGAGGCTGGCCGTGGGTTGCCCATCCCCGCAGTCAACAAAGGAGCCTGATTTTATTTTCTGTCAACATATTATACGTCTATAATAACCACAACAGCTTTATCAGGAGAAGGGAAGAGGCGTGCTAGAAACAAAATAGGGCAATAAAATTATACAGCTGCTTGGTGACTTCTAAAAATAGATTTCAACTGCCACTTACTAGATCTTATAAAATATGTCAAAATCTAACGCTGCTGTTCTGAGCAGTTGAGAATGAATTTTTTTTTTTTAATTCTTTGTCTTGAAAAAGAAGTGGCAATTCCATGTGGCTGGTAACATTAGAATCATCCATGCAAGGTATACGCCTTTCACTGGAGCTAAATTTGAACGCCAGAGCTGATTGGTTTAATGGGACAACTACATACAACGTACACATAAAATATTGTTAATCTAATATATTGATACCCTCTCCCATACCCTGGTTATGTAATGGGGCCATCCATACATTGGGGATGCACTGAGCTTGCATAATAGAAGTTTGGTTGTTTTTTTGGGGGTTGGGGTGTGTTGTCACCAGAATGTACAAACATTTATGCATAAATTCTGCACTAGTTATCCTGACAGTCTCTCATGAGGCCAACTATCATCTGTAGTAATATTTAGCCAAGTGGCAAAAACAGTAGTCCACCATGCATCTGTCCGTGCTGGTGATCTAATTATTTTGTTCAGCGGAACCAAGTGTGCCGTCCTCTATCTAATAGGAACCTGAATTCTTTTCGTTTGACATTTTTATAGTCTAATAACTACCACAAGCTGTAATGTAGAAGGGGGGAGTGATATGGTGACACAAAGTTTTCTTAGTATTAAAATCGTACAGGGGATAGATAGTTAACCCACGACCTGTGGTCCGCCGAAAAAAATCATAAGATATTTTCGTTCTGTACAGTGGCGGCCGATAAAAAAACACAGTCCGATAGCAACATTAACCGGAATTAATTATAGTCACTACCTTTTTAATAATTCAATGATCTTCTGGGTCAAGCTGATTGTTGGTAAAAATGACTACTTTTTAATCAGAATTTTATATCCCTGTTTTTTTAAAAGCTAAAATAGCTGAAGCCATGGCTGGGGTCATTCAGTGCAAGAACTAATAGAAATATGTTTGAAAGCCATGGCTGGGGTCATTCAGTACAAGAACTAATAGAAATATGTTTGAAAGCCATGGCTGGGGTCATTCAGTACAAGAACTAATAGAAATATGTTTGAAAGCCATGGCTGGCCCTTCAGTACAAGAACTAATAGAAATATGTTTGAAAGCCATGGCTGGCCCTTCAGTACAAGAACTAATAGAAATATGTTTGAAAGCCATGGCTGGCCCTTCAGTACAAGAACTAATAGAAATATGTTTGAAAGCCATGGCTGGCCCTTCAGTACAAGAACTAATAGAAATATGTTTGAAAGCCATGGCTGGCCCTTCAGTACAAGAACTAATAGAAATATGTTTGAAAGCCATGGCTGGCCCTTCAGTACAAGAACTAATAGAAATATGTTTGAAAGCCATGGCTGGCCCTTCAGTACAAGAACTAATAGAAATATGTTTGAAAGCCATGGCTGGCCCTTCAGTACAAGAACTAATAGAAATATGTTTGAAAGCCATGGCTGGCCCTTCAGTACAAGAACTAATAGAAATATGTTTGAAAGCCATGGCTGGCCCTTCAGTACAAGAACTAATAGAAATATGTTTGAAAGCCATGGCTGGCCCTTCAGTACAAGAACTAATAGAAATATGTTTGAAAGCCATGGCTGGCCCTTCAGTACAAGAACTAATAGAAATATGTTTGAAAGCCATGGCTGGCCCTTCAGTACAAGAACTAATAGAAATATGTTTGAAAGCCATGGCTGGCCCTTCAGTACAAGAACTAATAGAAATATGTTTGAAAGCCATGGCTGGCCCTTCAGTACAAGAACTAATAGAAATATGTTTGAAAGCCATGGCTGGCCCTTCAGTACAAGAACTAATAGAAATATGTTTGAAAGCCATGGCTGGCCCTTCAGTACAAGAACTAATAGAAATATGTTTGAAAGCCATGGCTGGCCCTTCAGTACAAGAACTAATAGAAATATGTTTGAAAGCCATGGCTGGCCCTTCAGTACAAGAACTAATAGAAATATGTTTGAAAGCCATGGCTGGCCCTTCAGTGCAAGAACTAATAGAAATATGTTTGAAAGCCATGGCTGGCCCTTCAGTGCAAAAACTAATAGAAATATGTTTGAAAGCCATGGCTGGCCCTTCAGGGCAAGAACTAATAGAATTATGTTTGAAAGCTTTTTAGGAGAGGATTTAAGTGATACAGATGATGATTTTAACATTGCCCGTAACATCTCACTTCAGATTCTTCATTCAGGAATCTGATACTAGGCTTAGAGATGCTGAAGTAGCCCTACTGAATTCTAGCCAGGACCAGAAGTTGGGTTAGGACTGACTGAATTTTAATCACAGAAGCTACAGATTATAGATCAGAACTAATAAATTTTATAGTTAAACAACCCAAATCAGTTCCACAGTTACTTTTTAAATGTTTACTAGTCAATAATAACTTTTTTGCCTGGGATTTGTTGTACTTAGCTGTGGTCCCATTTTCTTTTTTTTTTCAGTAATAAATGACCTCAAATTACTAAAATTGCTTTCAGAGGTTTAATTGTAATAAAAACCGTAGCAAACTATACATTTTTTGAAAGATAAATCAATTGGCTACCACATTTAGATTAGTATTTTAATGGAATCTATCAAAATTAATGATGTTATGAGCACTTGAAAGCAAGATATTTTGATTTTTTTTTTCTTGAGCACTCCAAGGTCAAGGACACTGAACGAACAATTTGAACAGGTGGGCATTATAAGCCAACCTTATCCCCATCCATTTACCTTTCTAAAAATTGGGGTCTTGTATCAATATTTCTATTTCATTTAATGCTATTTCTAAAGGCACTCGAAAAGCTCCCACACAGTTTGTGGGTTAACAAGGTCTCTTAAAAATTACTTCTGACCGGTCTCAGCGTAAAATTGTATGTAAAAAATGTAAGAGAAAACAGGTCTGATCTCAATCAACATAGTACATCTCAATAATCAAAATAGTATATCTCTATAATCACCATTGTACATCTCAAAAATTGACATTGTAAATCTCAATATCCCACAGAATAAACCAAGAACTACCACTACACTTTATTTTTTGCTGTTGAAACAAGCTAGACAATTATAAATGAATTAGCTAAAGAATTATAAATGAATTAGCTAGAAAATTATATTCGAAATTAGCTACACAATTTTACATGAAGTAGCTACATAATTATAAATGAATTAACTAGACAATAAAATATATGATACAAAGAACTAGCATCATTGCAATTGTTGCTGTTGAAACTAGCCAGTCAATTATATTATATATGATACAAAGAACTAGCAACGTTTCAATCCTTGCTGTTGAAACTAGCCAGACAAGTATTTATGATAGAAATTCAAAGAGTAAAAGCAACCAACCCATGTTAGTGAGGGTTCATCATTAGTGTCATCCACAATGACAACGTAAGGCTTCTTATGGTGGCCTGGAGTTTTTTCAACTTCAAATTTTATGAAACACAAAATGTCCTGTGGAGAGAAAAAGTAAAATTAGATCAATAATTTGAAGGAAGTAAGAATGTAAACAATACGGTCAAACTATGATCAATATATTTATGGCTTCCTTCCGTCTTCGTGAGACGATGGAGTAGCTACATAGTCCTACACTTTGACGAGTGGTTCACTAGGCCAATCCTAGAATGACAATCATGGCCGCATCTCTCGCAGGAGAATATTGATTCCGGGTAAGATCTTGATTTCCAAATTGTTCTTTTTGTTTCAAGGGCCTCGTTTCGAGTATCTTCTGCCTTTTTAACTCCAAACACTGCCGTTCGCCAGTTGGAGTGTTGTTCGGCAATGAACTCCCATTCGTTTTTTTCAATATTGGCTTCCCTCATGCTTCTTCTAAAAACCTCAATAAATCTCAGGCGTGGGTGTCCAATATGTCTTGTCCCTTCTGCCAACTCTACATACAGCAGCATCTTTGGGATACGTCCTTCCTCCATTCTCCTTACATGGCCTAATCAGCGAAGGCGCCTCTTGATAAGAAAGGAGAATATGCTAAACATGTGTGCAGGTTCCAAGACCTCCACGTTAGGCACCCTGTCCTGCCAACGAATGCGTAAAATGAGACGCAGACATCTTTGATGGAAGCTGTTGAGTTTCCGCTCCTGACAGGTAGACTATATGTGGTCCACACTTCGCTACCATATAGGAGCGTATTAAGCACACATGCCTGATAGACACTTATTTTTGTTTTATCAGTTAGATTGAGATTATTCCACACACGCTTATTCAGTTTAGCCATAGTTACTGCTGCTTTTGCGATCCTGATATTTATCTCTTCATCAACGGAGAGAGAACTAGAAATATTGGATCCAAGGTATGTGAGATGATCAACAACCGAAAGATTATGACCTTCAATAGATATGATTGGAGGGGACGGTGCTTCTTGCATCATTACATAAGTTTTCTGTAGACTAATCGAAAGTCCAAACTCTTTACAAGCATGTGATAGACGATTAACCAGCCCCTGCAGACCTTCTTCTGTGTGAGATGCTCCTTGCATCTCCATTGTCGGAAGCCGATTGTATAAAGTTGCAAATTTTTTGCGGTTCAGAGAGCCTGTAGTGTAATAGCACAAGGTGCATCCCTATAGGCAAGTAGGGCTCTTCTCTTCCTCTCGATTACTGGTTCCATCACATTCCAATGCGCCTCGTACCAGTCATTATTTTTATGCTCCATTTTACCATAGGCGGACATGACTGAATCGTACACAGCATCTCGTAAATGACTCCACGTAGAGTCAATAGTTCCATCGTGTGATCCTTTAGCAAGGGTGTCCTGCAACACTTTTGAGAATTGCTGCGTTTTTTCTGGGTTTTTTGAGCAGTGGATGTTAATTTGTGGACGACACTTCTTTTTAGCATTATGCAATTTTTTGGGCATTAGTCGTATCTTGCTTGCCACGAGAGAATGCCACTATGGTAGCTGCTTGTATGAAGTACACTGGTTAGCTCCACGCGCGCAGTAATGACAAGGTCTAGCTGGTGCCAGTGGCGGGAACGTGGGTGTCGCCATGACACGTTTTGGATTTGTTTACATTTGAAGAAGGTATTTGTAACACAGAGACCATGGGAGCAGCACAACTCCAGCAGACATTTTCCGTTTTCATTAATCCTTCCTAATCCGTGATAACCAAAACATGACGGCCAGGCTTCCTGATCAGCTCCTACCCTAGCATTATAATCATTAGGAATGTATATAATATGGTAAATCTATGATCAATGGGGAAGTAAACATTGTGGTAAACCAATAATCATTAGAAATGTAAACAATATGGTCAACCTATAATCATTAGGAATGTTAACAATATGGTCAACCTATAATCATTAGGAATGTTAACAATATGATAATCTATGATCAAAAGGAACAAGAGCACTATGGTAGGCCTATCACATGAAATTTTAAAAGTTTATTTAATTGTGCACTCTTACGAGTTGATGTGTGTTCTGGTCATCATGCAGCATGAGTAAAGATACCATCAACTTACATTCAACCAATGAACGGGACATCATGTAGCATTAGAAATGAGACCATCAACTTACATTCAGCCAATTGTGTAGCATTGGAAATGAGACCATCAACTTACATTCAGCCAATGAACTAGTCATCATGTAGCATTGGAAATGAGACCATCAACTTACATTCGGCTAATCAACAACACAATAAAAAATAATGGCTTAGTAAATTAATCTAGGTCAATATTATGAGACATTTTATGAAATAGACAACAACCAAACCTTGAAGAAATGAATAAAGTTTGTTTCTGTGCTTGATTAAATGTGAATATCATGAAGCTTCCCCTTTTAGGATGTCATTATACTTAGCCCTTTTAGGATGTCATTATACTTAGCCCTTTTAGGATGTCATTATACTTAGCCCTTTTAGGATGTCATTATACTTAGCCCTTTTAGGATGTCATTATACTTAGCCCTTTTAGGATGTCATTATACTTAGCCCTTTTAGGATGTCATTATACTTAGCCCTTTTAGGATGTCATGATGCTTCCCTTTTTAAGATATTATTATACTTGGCCCTCTTAGGGTGTCATGATGCTTACCCTTTCAGGATGCCATGTTGCTTGCCCCTCCCCTTTCAGGATATCATTATACATTAGCCTTTTTAGTATGTCATGATGTTACCCCTTTCAGGATGTCATGCTGCTAACACCTTTCAGGATGTCATGATGCTTACCCCTTTCAGGATGTCATGATGCTTGCCCCTTTCAGGATGTCATGCTGCTTGCTCCTTTCAGGATGTCATGATGCTTACCCCTTTCAGGATGTCATGATGTTTACCCCTTTCAGGATGTCATGATGTTTACCCCTTTCAGGGTGTAATGTTTACATCTTTTAGGGTGTGATAATGATTAAGCCTTTTAGGAAGTCATGATGCTTACCCCTTTTAAGATTTCATGATACTTACTCCTTTCACACATGTGCTTAGATCAATAGCAGCCTGTCCAAGAGCAAGTACATCCACTGTGCCCCCTTGGTCTGTGGTAAACACACAGTTATAGTGACATCAGTAACACAGTTATAGTGACATCAGTAACACAGTTATAGTGACATCAGTAACACAGTTATAGTGACATCAGTAACACAGTTATAGTGACATCAGTAACACACAGTTATAGTGACATCAGAAACACACAGTTATAGTGACATCAGTAACACACAGTTATAGTGACATCAGTAACATACAGTTATAGTTACATCAGTAACACAGTTATAGTGACATCAGTAACACAGTTATAGTGACATCAGTAACACACAGTTATAGTGACATCAGTAACATACAGTTATAGTTACATCAGTAACACAGTTATAGTGACATCAGTAACACACAGATATAGTGACATCAGAAACACACAGTTATAGTGACATCAGTAACATACAGATATAGTTACATCAGTAACACAGTTATAGTGACATCAGTAACACAGTTATAGTGACATCAGTAACACAGTTATAGTGACATCAGTAACACAGTTATAGTGACATCAGTAACACAGTTATAGTGACATCAGTAACACAGTTATAGTGACATCAGTAACACAGTTATAGTGACATCAGTAACACAGTTATAGTGACATCAGTAACACAGTTATAGTGACATCAGTAACACAGTTATAGTGACATCAGTAACACAGTTATAGTGACATCAGTAACACAGTTATAGTGACATCAGTAACACAGTTATAGTGACATCAGTAACACAGTTATAGTGACATCAGTAACACAGTTATAGTGACATCAGTAACACAGTTATAGTGACATCAGTAACACAGTTATAGTGACATCAGTAACACAGTTATAGTGACATCAGTAACACAGTTATAGTGACATCAGTAACACAGTTATAGTGACATCAGTAACACAGTTATAGTGACATCAGTAACACAGTTATAGTGACATCAGTAACACAGTTATAGTGACATCAGTAACACAGTTATAGTGACATCAGTAACACAGTTATAGTGACATCAGTAACACAGTTATAGTGACATCAGTAACACAGTTATAGTGACATCAGTAACACAGTTATAGTGACATCAGTAACACAGTTATAGTGACATCAGTAACACAGTTATAGTGACATCAGTAACACAGTTATAGTGACATCAGTAACACAGTTATAGTGACATCAGTAACACAGTTATAGTGACATCAGTAACACAGTTATAGTGACATCAGTAACACAGTTATAGTGACATCAGTAACACAGTTATAGTGACATCAGTAACACAGTTATAGTGACATCAGTAACACAGTTATAGTGACATCAGTAACACAGTTATAGTGACATCAGTAACACAGTTATAGTGACATCAGTAACACAGTTATAGTGACATCAGTAACACAGTTATAGTGACATCAGAAACACAGTTAAAGTGACATCAGTAACACAGTTATAGTGACATCAGTAACACAGTTATAGTGACATCAGTAACACAGTTATAGTGACATCAGTAACACACAGTTATAGTGACATCAGTAACACAGTTAAAGTGACATCAGTAACACAGTTATAGTGACATCAGTAACACAGTTAAAGTGACATCAGTAACACAGTTATAGTGACATCAGTAACACACAGATATAGTGACATCAGTAACACAGTTATAGTGACATCAGTAACACACAGTTATAGTGACATCAGTAACACAGTTATAGTGACATCAGTAACACACAGATATAGTGACATCAGTAACACAGTTATAGTGACATCAGTAACACACAGATATAGTGACATCAGTAACACACAGTTATAGTGACATCAGTAACACAGTTAAAGTGACATCAGTAACACAGTTATAGTGACATCAGTAACACACAGATATAGTGACATCAGTAACACAGTTATAGTGACATCAGTAACACACAGATATAGTGACATCAGTAACACAGTTAAAGTGACATCAGTAACACACAGTTATAGTGACATCAGTAACACAGTTATAGTGACATCAGTAACACAGTTATAGTGACATCAGTAACACAGTTATAGTTACATCAGTAACACAGTTAAAGTGACATCAGTAACACAGTTATAGTGACATCAGTAACACACAGATATAGTGACATCAGTAACACACAGATATAGTGACATCAGTAACACAGTTATAGTGACATCAGTAACACACAGTTAAAGTGACATCAGTAACACACAGTTATAGTGACATCAGTAACACAGTTATAGTGACATCAGTAACACAGTTATAGTGACATCAGTAACACAGTTAAAGTGACATCAGTAACACAGTTATAGTGACATCAGTAACACACAGATATAGTGACATCAGTAACACACAGTTAAAGTGACATCAGTATCACACAGTTAAAGTGACATCAGTAACACACAGTTAAAGTGACATCAGTAACACACAGATATAGTGACATCAGTAACACAGTTAAAGTGACATCAGTAACACACAGATATAGTGACATCAGTAACACACAGTTATAGTGACATCAGTAACACAGTTATAGTGACATCAGTAACACACAGATATAGTGACATCAGTAACACACAGTTATAGTGACATCAGTAACACAGTTATAGTGACATCAGTAACACACAGATATAGTGACATCAGTAACACACAGTTATAGTGACATCAGTAACACACAGTTAAAGTGACATCAGTAACACACAGTTAAAGTGACATCAGTAACACACAGATATAGTGACATCAGTAACACACAGTTAAAGTGACATCAGTATCACACAGTTAAAGTGACATCAGTATCACACAGTTAAAGTGACATCAGTAACACACAGATATAGTGACATCAGTAACTCACAGTTAAAGTGACATCAGTAACACACAGTTATAGTGACATCAGTAACACAGTTATAGTGACATCAGTAACACAGTTAAAGTGACATCAGTAACACAGTTAAAGTGACATCAGTAACACACAGATATAGTGACATCAGTAACACACAGTTAAAGTGACATCAGTATCACACAGTTATAGTGACATCAGTAACACAGTTATAGTGAATCAGTAACACAGTTATAGTGACATCAGTAACACACAGATATAGTGACATCAGTCCGGGATCCTTCCGTCTCGTGAGACGATGGTGCATCACCGTTGGTTTGGGTTGCATTTTCTCGAGTGGCTGTGCAGTCCTATCCTTGAGTGACAGTCTTTACCACAGTTTTTACACACGAGTTCCGTGCTTCCAAATGTTTTGGCCTTTCTCCTAGCTCTTCTGTCTGCAGCCTCTTCCATTCTTCGTTCCTTGGCTACCATGACGCCCTCTTTGACAACTGTGCGCCACGTAGATCGGTCTTTTGCCTTACACTCCCAGTCACTTGTATGTATTTTGGCTGCTTTCATGTCCCTTTGACAGACATCTTTAAATCGCAGACGTGGGCGACCTGTTTTCCTCTTTCCAGAAGCAAGTTAGCCATTTAATACCAAGGATGCGACGCAGGCATCTCATATGGAAGCTATTAAGCTTGCGCTCTTGGGATGTATAGGTGGTCCATGTCTCGCTCCCGTATAGTAGTGTACTGATGACACAAGCTCGATATACGCACAGTTTGGTTTTCTCCGTTAGCTTGGTGTTTTGCCAGACCCGTTTATTTAGTTTAGCCATTGTGGCAGCTGCCTTGCCGATTCTGCTGTTGATTTCTTCTTCAATGGACAGTGTATTGGAGACCTTGGACCCCAAGTAGGTGAAACTGTCCACAACCTCCAAGTTTTCATTATCGATTTTTATGTTAGGTGGAGGTCGAGTGTCTTGGGCCATGATGTTTGTCTTTTTCAAGCTGATTTGCAGACCAAATTCTTTGCAGGCATTGGAGAAGCTTGACACGAGTTGTTGCAAACCAATTTCTGTGTGTGCTGTTAGTGCCGCATCATCCGCAAATAGTAGTTCGCGAATTAGGACATCTAGTGACATCAGTAACACACAGATATAGTGACATCAGAATCACACAGTTATAGTGACATCGGAATCACACAGTTATAGTGACATCAGTAACACACAGATATAGTGACATCAGTATCACACAGTTATAGTGACATCAGTAACTACAACAGACTTTTAATTAAAAAAATACAGAGTTTTCTTTTTTAAAGAAATTGCTCTACTAATTTATTTAGGGGCAGACCTAGAGAATTGTTAATGATCAGTTTATATTTACTTAAAATGTGCTTACCGTCTATGATAGATATTTTCAATGATGGCACTTCATATCTGTATAGAGTAAAGACCTGCAGAATAGTAGCCTAAGGAAAGTGGGAAGAAGAAATGATAATTTGGCAAACATTCAAATGTGTAAAGTTAATAGTGGAACAAGACATGTTGTCCTTAATGTCTTCAGTTTATAGTGGAATAAGATATGTTATCCTTAGTATCTTGAGCAATACAATTTAACTGAGATTAGTAAAATGTGAAGAAAAGGTAAATATTTTTGCAACAAACTTTATAAGAGCCTTTATTGTGCCACATATGATATGATGATATAATCTTATAAGAGCCTTTAATATGATATCATGATATAATCTTCATTCATGAGTTGCCTTTAGGAATTGAAAAATATTACAAATACAAGATAAGTGATTGCCACCTGACATTTAATAAAATTTAAAATCTAAAATTCTAGAGCTAAAGAAATATGAGAAAGTCTTATTAAATCATCAAATGAAAGAGAAAACAGCTTTGCCATCAAGAAAACAGCTTTGCCATCAAGAAAACAGCTTTGCCATCAAGAAAACAGCTTTGCCATCAAGAAAACAGCTTTGCCATCGACTCAAAGATTATATGATGAGGGTTATTACCATTAATAAAGTATCTTACTATGATGGGGATGGGAAAATTGGGTTAACCTTCAAATATTTACCACTAAGAATCATACATATATTCTGAAGTTTGGCAGACCAAGCAGCTGGACAAGTTTTGAAATTGCACCAGGGAACCGGTGCCAGATTCATGAATTATTTTTATCCTTTCATTTGACCATTAATATCAATGTTGTGTAAAGCAGCAACGTAAGTTTGTATCCTTTCATTTGACCATTAATATCAATGTTGTGTAAAGCAGCAACGTAAGGCTCGTGGAAATGCGCCAGTCCGCAAATAAAACTCTAGGAAACACTGTTCTAAATCAATTGCTCTATTTTTCGTATGGACTAACCTTCAAATATTTCCCAGTGAGATCAGTATTTTCTTTCAATGAGGCTATGTACACTGGTGCCAGGTTCGATGGAAGTTGTTCTTCAAGTGGGCCATTACATATAACAGCCGGCATTTTCTAGAAAATAAAACAGTGCATTTATTAAATAGATTCTAACGCATTAGTTTGTTGAATTTCTTCTCAAGTAAAATCCCACATGTTGTCTAGAATTGAAATCTCATAAGTGACCAACATACTAGTTACAATTTAAGTTGGGGAAAAGCAAAGCAGAGCTTTCCTAACTTTATAGATGGCTTTTTCTTTATATGCTTCATTTAAATAAAATCTTTCAGTTCAGTCAAAATTCTATCTTGAATAATTAACAGCTTAATATTTTTACATTTTAACAAAACTTCTTTTTCTTTAGCAAAAATTTAAACTTCATAATAGCCGTTGAAAGAAGTCCGAAAAATGATGTCAAGCAAATTGTACACATTTAATTACCCTCCCCCCCCTGTCATCACAAAGTTAGCCCCCCCCCCCCCCTCAAATATAAAAATCACAAACCTCATTCTTTAGCAAAAATTTAAACTTCAAAAAAGCCGATGAAAAAAGTTCGAAAAATGATGTCAAACAAATTGTACACATTTAATTACCCCCCTCCCCCTGTCATCACAAAGTTAGCCCCCCCCCCCCCCTCAAATATAAAAATCACAAACCTCGGCACCCCCATGTTGTTACCCTAGGGGAGAGCTCTGCATAATCTAAAACTCTGTCTTTTGATACATGTAATTATTTTAATGTTTATATTTTAAAAACTTTGTCTTGGATTAATTACATATGTGCTAAAATGAATATGTGTAATGTCATAAAAAACATTTCCTTTCTTGTGTACGGTATCAATAAAATAATTGTATTTCATTCTTATCAATAAAACTATTACCATTTAAATAGCACTTCAAACCAGAATAAAAGGATTTTTTGCACAACCAACGCTGATGTGGTAGATTCACCTAATTATAAACAAAGTGTCTACATGTCCGGCGACCGGATAAATAGTTCTCTAGATATTCGTCCGGCTACCAGGTCACATGACCGCCGTAACAAAGTTGGGCCAGATATCCGTCCATCAGCCTTGTCACGTGACCAGCTAAGAGTCGATCATAAAACTGGCATCGGAGACGCATGGGGGGCGATGAGTATACACTTCATTTCAAGAAATGGGCGGGGGGGGGGGGGGGAGGAGCAATGCATACTAGAAGGAAGAAATACTGAGAGCGAGAGAGAAAGAATAAAAATGATAGTGAGGGTGATAATAATTAAAGCAGGGAGGTCGAAAGTTCACAAAGAAATAGACCCTACATCTTAATAAAGCCCACGTCTCCCACAATGTTAATAGCCTAAAATAAAACTTTTTTGACAGTAGGTCTATTGACAGTCAACTGGCAAGTATTGGTCTTATTTTCTTTGGTTCACATTTTAAATTGAGGCTACTAGGGAGTGCTTTATAAGTTATTTAAACCAAGATAACAGACTTTCTTTTTTTAAATTTTGCCGGCGACCTCTTGTCACATGACATGTCTGCCGGAATAATATCTCCAGCACTATTTGTCCGGTCGCCGGTAGTGTAGACACTGCCAATTATAAATGAAATAGCATAGGAAGCCAAGCCCGATAATGCCCAATGAATTATCATAATTAATAATATTATAATTATTATCAATCTAAAATCTAAATATTATAAAACCGTGCAAGGATTTAGCCTACTAGCCTAGCCTACTTATTTCCTGTAATTTTTAAATTGGTAATACCATGCCAACAAATTGTACAATGTATAGTAATTACTACATGTTTTGGCTAATGCTAAGAGATGTCGCCATGATGTCCTTTGCGTGTTTTGGATTCACTCCCCTGATTTTTTATTTAATAGAGTTATATTTTCATTACGGTAATATGACAATGGCACGTTTTAATTAAATTTTTATTGGTTGATTAATTATAATTTTAAAATTTCATTGGTTGGCCAATTATAATATTTTTTATGTGTTCCACCATTTTGAAACGACTTGTTCATGGCAGACTTTGTAGTTTATTCATTTTGTGGATATTATTTTCGGTGGAACCTGAAATAAAGTGTGTAAAAGTAAAAGTGTTTTCTATGAAACTGTAAGTTGGGTTTTCATTATTTCTTAATTTTATTCTTATTTTTTGCCATTTTTTATTGTTTTTTTTTATTTTCCTAGTCTTCTGGGTCAAAATCTAGATTAGGGAGAGGGTCAAAACCCTGTTCCGCTTGGGTCAAAACCCTGGTTCCGATAGGGTCAAAACCCAGGTTAGGGATAAATTTAGGGTTCAGGTCACGGCTACATCTCTTTGCATGTACCTTTTTGAATTTTGTTTAAAGCATCAATCATCAAATAAAAGTTATTAAAGTTAAAGTGTCAAGAGTTAAAGGGTGTGATCCGGTGACTTCTAATTAGAGGCCGACCGAAAGTGATTTTCTGATTTCGGCCGAAGCCGAAAATAGGCCGAAAGTTTAAAATGACTTTTGGCCGAAACCTAAAAAATGCCAAAAGTTTAAAAATGACTTTCGGCCGAAACCGAAAAAAGACCGAAAGTTAAAAATGAATTTCGGCCGAAACCGAAGATGAAATATTTAGATATTTTGAAATTCGTTCCCGCATACATTTTGCATACATCGAAAATGATGTGGGAAAGTATAAATATTTACATTCTTTTTATAAAAATGTGATAATTGTGAATATTAATAAATAAACATCTAATATAGGGGTCTCAAACTCGCGGCCCGCGAGCCATTTGTGACCCGCAAGACGATATTTTGCGGCCCGCTACATGACAGAAAAGTTCAGTGTAAATGCGCCGGCCCGTTTCCCCCATTCTCATAGCTATAACGTGACTCTCCGCGACGGTGTCAGTCGAATCTCACCGACTAATCAAATTTTGGTTTTTTTTTGTAATGTTTCTATATATTTTTTAATGCAACAGTGAGTAGGTGGATGAAAGTGAATCCTAGTTCTTGAGAACCCTTAATGATTTTATTGTTATTTATAAAGGTTGAGCAGATTGTAACAGTTGTAGTCGCTTTTTTGTGGATTACTTGATGCGGCCCACTCTCATTCAGACACTACCTCCTGCGCCCCCCCCCCCCCCCGGTGATTTGAGTTTGAGACCCTTGATCTAATGAATACTTTGGATTTTACCATTTTAATATAAAAGTAATTTAAATTGCGTTACAATTTTTTTTAATTAGTATGTTAGGAGAAAATTTGGCAAAAATTGAGGTGGGGGGGGGGGGGAATGGAAAATAATGCAAAATATTATTTTTTTAAACCGGGTCTCTAAAAATTGTGGTTCTAAAATATCGCTTAATTTGTTTTTAAAGATCGTTTAGTTGGTTGTTATTGATCGCTTAATTTGTTGTTTAAGATCGTCCAGTTTTTGTTAATGATCGCTTTATTTTTTCTTAAAGATCGGTTAGTTTGTTCATAAAGATCGCCTGGTTTGTTGTTAAAGATCACTTAGTTTGTTGTTAAAGATCGCTTAGTTTTTCACAAAGATCGCTTAGTTTGTTCTTAAAGATAATTGATTTTGTTCCTTAAGATCGATTAGTTTGTTCTTAAAGATCTTTTAGTTTGTTCCTAAAGAACATTTAGTTTTCTGTTAAAGATCGCTTAGTTTATTCTTATAAATCATTTAGTTTCCTATTAAAGATCATTTGTTTTGATCTTAAAGATCATTTAGTTCGGTCTTAAAAATCGTTTAGTTTGTTCTTTAAGATCGTTTAGTTTGTTATTAAAGATCGCTTAGATAGTTCTTAAAGATCGCTTAGTTTGTTTTAAATATCGTTTAGTTTGTTCATAAATGTCGTTTAGTTTGTTGTTAAATATCATTTAGTTTGTTCTCAAAGATCGCTTAATTTGTTCTTAAATGTCGCTTATTTTGTTGTTAAATATCGCTTTCGCTGAGTATTAAATGACCGAAAACATGAGTCACTTTCGGCCGGATGGCCGAAAGTCTAAGTCAATTTCGGCCGAAACCGAAGAAAAACCGAAAGTTAACTTTTCTCTTTCCGCCCGAACCGAAATTAAACCGAAAGTTAACTTTTCAGTTTCGGCAGAAACCGAAACTTGGCCGAAAGTGATAAAATGGCCACTTTCGGCGCCGAAACCGAAATTCGGTCGGCCTCTACTTCTAATGAATTAATTTATATTATGTTCAACCAATTAAAGCAATAAAAGAATTATTTAACCATCTTGGGACGGAAGGTTCGGCCCAAGGTTGACTAGCGGGAAAGACAAAAGTCCGAACCATTGGCCAGATAAATCGAGCCAAGTGATTAGCTGGCTTGGCGTTGTAGCAGCAAATCAAATTTATTCCAACATATTCCTGCACATCCCAAGATTGTAATGGCGGCATTCGTTGATGGTGAACTAGATTTATTTGTGTGCAGAAATTTTTTTTGTGTGTATAGTTATATCATGAAATTCGAGTATGTCTAACAGTGACTCTGATCAAATTGTGCTTAGTATTCTAATTTCTCGCTGTCTAGCAGTGAATCTGACACTGATGAAAACAACCAGGAAAGTAATGAAGACAATCAAAATGATTATGTTTACGATAATGTTGGGATTCCTTGGTTTAGTACTAGGGGTTCTGAATTGGATGGAGATGACTCCTATAATTTTTATAAAAAATAGAGCCTATAAATAAGCCTCATGAGTTAAGCACCCCAATTGAGCACTTTATGCAAATTTTTACACAGGTTGTGAGAGAAATAAACCATAATTGGGTGTACAATATGGTCATGGTGAAAAGGACTGTTCTGTCTGTAGCAACCGAAAAGTACCCCGGCAGGAAAAAGAGTAGAACTATGTACTATGTCACACTATGTGCCAGGGGTGTCTAAAGGGACTAGTTTCCCAAAACACATGGGTTAGGATCTATTCATGCTTCATCCATCAAAAAATTCACACAATTTACAGTGGTAAATCATGTTTAATCTCAGTTTAACAAAAAATTTCACGCACAAATTATGCAAATCAGGTTAGCAATGGGAGTGCCGAGTTTGTAAAAATTGCTCCGTCTTTTTGCCACAGATACCCCAAAAAGGCTCCGTCCCGAAAGGGTTAAGTTTAAGTATTTTTAGTATAATATAATTTATTATATTAGTTATTAGTAGGTACTTGGATATGAGGCTATTTTGACGTAATCGCGGCCCATAGGGTTTTGAGACGCTTTTTTTGGTGTGCTGGATGATAGGGTTCACTAAAAAATTATTTTTTCGCGCTAGAAACGTCGGATCAACGAACGAATTACTGTTCTAGTTACGTTAATGAACGGGCTTTAACGACATCCATTTTGTTTTCAGTAATATCAGTATGTCGTAAATAAAAAAAAATGTGAGAAAGCAGCTAAGTCTAATTTATCAATATTTTGAAAACTATTCGTTGTCCCATTTTAAATCGACCTGGTGTACCTGTGAAATTGTATAAAATATCACCATGTAAAATTTCAAGTCTCTAAGATGGCCATAACAATGTTATTTTTGGCCAGAACGGGTCTAAAAATTTAAAAAAAAAAAAAAATGGCCGAAAACGAAAGTGACAAACCGGAAACAGTATTATTTAACTATAGTTGACAGATAAGAAAGCCCAAGACATTTTTTATGCCTTAAGCAATCAAGTTCCATCTTAATTAATATTAGGTTTTATTTCAATATCTATACAATAATAGACATATTAAGTAATATTTTATCAGATACTGCTCCATTTCAAGTTAAATCATAATTTTTATTGTAATATTGCCTCTATTATATTTCCTTTTTAAAAATAAATTACGTTTGGTCTTAATTTTTTTTAAATAATTTTTTAATTTTTTTTTGTGGAAGTTTTTATAATGACATTAAAAATATTTTTAAAATATTATATTTAATTTTTTTAGTTTTTAAATCAGCAAAAATGTTGCTAATATGATGATGAACACTTCTGGAAAGTTTCATAATATTTGTTTACTCTGCTATAAAGTTATCAGCCTTTTCGTGAAAATTTTTGGAAAAGAGGTCACAAATCTCTATGTTAAAAAAAGTGAGTTTTTATTCACGAAAAAAATCATAACTTTTTAACCAAAAGTGCTACATGAAAAATGAAAACATATTATTACTTCATTTAACAAGAGCTATCTTACAGGTGTGTTCATTTTTTAATTAATTCAATTTGAAAATTTTATCCAAGTACCTAGTTATTATTATTAGTAATAACTAATAAGTTAGTAAGTTAAGTAACAAGTAATATTAGTTTTACTAAGTTTTAGTATGATTATAGTTTTATAGCCTAGCCTATGTTACATGTAAATGTAACTGTTTTGACTATTTAATTTAAATTAAACTTTACTTAAATTAAAATTACTCAACTAGGCTAATGAAGAGATAGCTAACCAGTATAAATCAGTCAACAAATTTTTAGCCACTTTTCGGAGCAATGAAATACATACATCTCGCGCTATAAAAACGCTCGCTTTATTAACTTCCGGTGACAGAAAAGGGCTATTGTTCCGTGAATTAGCTTTGTTTTAATTAAAATGTACCTCTAATCACCAAAACAATTTAAAAGAGTATTGTCACTCTCTTCAAACTTTCCCAAAATGATTAACTTTGTTTTCCTGAATTTAAATTTGTAACTTTTGCTCATCAGGCTGAGACGATTTTATTGACAGCAAACAACCTCAAATATATGTCCATCAAAACCAATCAGTTAGGCGCAACCATTTCAACCTGTTCCCAATGGAAGTCATTGCTTTGACCGTGGGATTTTATATTGGCTAAGATGTTGCAAAAGAAGTCTTTTTCTCTCACTAGCAATATTTCAAAGTGTTGTTTAAAACATTCCTGCATATTTTCTAATCATCGATCACAATATTTTTTTTCTTCTTAAATCTAACAAAAGCTTAACGATTGCTCCTTCCATGTGCCCATTCCGCAAGGGTGACCAAATAATGAACTGGAAAAAACGGGACACACTCAAGGAGGGCTGTTAGGGGGGTGGGGGATACCCTCAAGTTATAGAGGGGTTCTGGGGCCTCCGCCGGAAACTTTTTATTGAAATATGCTTATTTAAACTATTTTGAAACCTAGAGATATTTTTAAATGTACCTTCACTTTTGTAATTTAATTTAAACTCTAAGGCATATCATAAACGAAAAAAATAATTTTGCAGTGAATACTTATTTATTGTATACATGTTTTACAGCAAAATACAACATAACCAAATATATTTCTATAGTCTAGGATTTAAATTGAGGGTATTTGGCTGTTGTTCCAGCCATTGTTAAAATCTACTTCTTATCTAATATAAAGTTGTAAAAACTAGAACTGTCCATTTCAAAATTGGAGAGAACCTGCAGGATTGCAGAAAGGGTCTCCACTGCTCTCATCTTGTTTCTTTCGTCTGTCCATTGAATGTTCATGAGTGAAAAATTCTTTCAGCCATTTAAGCATTACTATGGGCACGGATCGTAGTGTCGGCATTGTGATGGAGGGGGAACAGTGCAGCCATCACGCGAGCCCACATCACTACTCAGCTGGCACTGGCTACACAGCTAGCCAAAATATTACTTGAAGTTATAATATAAATTAGGAAGTTTTGAAAATGTGTTTGGTTTTCAATCTCTCCCTTTACCTCTCACTAGTGCGGTGGGAAAGGGAATATGGAGGAGGGTGTGGTACGCCCTGGCGATACTTTTTTTTTCTTTTTTCAGAAAAGTTTATTTGGTCAACTGCGCATTTTTTTTTTTTTTTTTTTTGTTTTTTGTTTTTTTTTTTTTTTTTTTTTTTTTTTTTTTTTTTTTTTTTTTTTTTTTTTTTTTTTTTTTTTTTTTTTTTTTTTTTTTTTTTTTTTTTTTTTGTGAGGGTGGCACAAATCTTGGACAATCCCAGGTAGCACAAACTCTCTTTACACCCATGCACCTCACCCTTTATCTTCATCGTCCCTCTTCTTTCTTTTTTCAAAAGTTTATTGTCACAACTCCATGTTTAAAAATGCTTCTATTTATTGATATTATATTATTAGGTTTCTTCTCCATTGTTTATAAATAATTTTGTTGATTTTGTTATGTTTTTTTTTTTTTTTTTTTTTTTTTTTTTTTTTTGTTTTTTTTTTTTTTGTTTTTTTTTTTTTTTTTTGTGAGGGTGGCACAAATCTTGGACAATCCCAGGTAGCACAAACTCTCTTTACACCCATGCACCTCACCCTTTATCTTCATCGACCCTCTTCTTTCTTTTTTCAAAAGTTTATTGTCACAACTCCATGTTTAAAAATGCCCCCATTTATTGATATTAAATTAATAGGTTTCTTCACCATTGCTTATAAATAATTTTGTTGATTTTGTTTGTCGATTTCATTAAAAATCTCATGCCAGTATTGTCCTTTTTGATTTCTTTCAGAATTGCTGTTTGGTTTTTATCCCTGTCTAATTTTCTTTAACAAAACTTCCAAAGAGGTGGGGCGTTAAAAATTATGTTTGCACCTTGTGTTTGTTAGATGTGCGAATCACAAAAATTAAGTAAATTTCTTATATTAAACTAGTCGATATACCCGGTATTTGCCGGGTTGTTATTCTTTTAGTACCGGTACCGGTACTATTATTTAGACAAACTCTTTTAGATAACGTTTTATTGGTGTCCTAATGAATATAACGAAGAAAAAATATAGTTTAATTAATTTTTACATGTTTATTGTCTTTAAAACCTTTTTTAAGCACATCACGTAATGAATTTTTTGTTGTTGAAAACAACTTCAACTTAAATGTCATACAGGAAATTAACAGTTAAATGTATACGAAAAACATAATATTATTAAATTGTAATTATTTACAAAAAATAATTTGAATGCTAAATATTTTTTTTTTAAAATAATTTATAATTTACATGTCTGCAAATAATGTGTACCAAATGTTAACGATATCAAAACAAAAACAAATTGAAGTTAAGTATTTTTTTTTTATTATTTTTAAACTTTCAATATCAAATCATATTTTATATAAACGTTAAATATGACCCTTGTCAATGTTAGCGTCATGGATAACGAAGAAAACAGCATGTATACAGATGATAACAGCAAGTATACCGAAAGCATTTGTTTCTCTATGTTGCATTGTAAGCAAGCCTTGTTGACAGATGTGTTTATTGCAAAACTTGTTTCTATACAACATTTTTGGTTTTTCAATCTCGAGCATATATGAACAAATGCTTTGGGGAGCCTACTCTTGAGCAGGCTACGTATAACTGGCCGTGGGAGAAACACGGTGACTCCAGGTTAATACCACAACACTTTATTGACTGGCCCTTTGCCTTGTTGATGTAATACCAAACGCCAGTCTTATAGGTTACTGTAGTCTCTTAAATGTGAAGGGTATATCTGTTGGGATCACTCAGAGGGATGAGGGCAATACATGCGTTACATCCCTTTCCTTTCCCAGTCAAAACTGTTGCTTCTATGACGTTTGACATCATCCTCTTGATGCAAAGCTGAGTCCTTTTGCATAGTTTAGGTGGCTCTAGATTTCGAAGCAGTATGATGGGTGACCCAACTATAAGTCGCAGTCGGTGTGGGGGCATCCCAGGCATATCGATGGAATTTAACAATTCTGTCGGATAATTTACGGCCTCGTCAACATCCACAACCGTGTCAATTGACTTAAATACTCAGGTATGGTTCCTGGGATGAGGTCTTGAATGAGGTTGTTAATTTTATGGACGGCATCGTTTTTGGAGACGAGGATCGCTCCCTCACACAGCCACTTGGTGTTTTGATAACTTGCTGATCTATTGGGATATACTTGATCAATCAGCTCTGGGACCGATGACACCATCTGACAAAAATCATGTGGAAATACAATTTCGCCTTTTGCCAATTCAGTGGGGAAAGTACCTTCCCTAATTTGAAGCAGTTTGTCATGGAAACTTTGGTCAGTTGGATCTCCTAGCAGCCTGACTCTGTCCTAAGAGAAACTTTAGCAACCTGTGCCAAAAGTGCCGAAGCTTTAAGGCAGGCATCAATTTCATCTGCTGGTGTTGACCTAGGTATCTCCGGAAGTGTTTGTCGGAAGTCCCCAGCTAACACCGCCAGAGCCCCTCCCAACAGTTGGAAACTGTCTCTCAAGTCTTGTAACGTTCAAACAAGGGCTTCCAGCGTTTTCTTGTGCGCCATGGTGCATTCATCCCACACGATAACTTGGCATGTTTTTAACACTTGTGCCTGGCCACATCTTTTGCTAATATTGCGCTTGGGATTTTGTTCACTGGCGATGTTCATCGGCAATTTGAGAGCTGTGTGTGCTGTTTGCCCTCCATCCATGAGTGGCGATGCTATCCCAGACGAGGCAATTGCAAGTGCCACATCATTCTGTGATCGAATTTCGGCCAGTAATAAATTTATCAAAAATGGTCCTCGAACTGCATGAAGCAACATTCGAAGATAAAAACATTTAGTGTTATTTGGGTAAACAGTAAAAACACCACCCAAGGCTTCGCTAGTCATAACCAAAAACCGGTACTCCTTGTTTTCTTTTGGAGAACATTTTCCTGGATGGGTTCAAAGTATAATATTCGTGGAATTCCCGATACAACAATGTCCTTGCAAATTGGTCGTGTTGACACAATTGAAAAAAAATGCTGTCAACGTCTTGTTTGGTGGATTAGCAGCAACTATCCGGGCGTTATCACGTGTAAAGCACACCCTTTGATCGTTCTCTAAATGAACGCTAAGGGGAACAACTGGTGGGTGGCGTTCATGAACCGGGAAGCTAAAGATCCGCCAAACTGCTTCATTACTACTGATATACCTTCCCAGATGGTTCACCAAAACACTTCAAAAAAATTTCAAAATGTTCATGTAACAGACCAATTTGGCTGTGATTTTATACACGGCACTATTATGTCAGGATGGCGTGGTAATGGTATTATAATATTGAGAATCACGAGAAAAGAGGGAACTATTTTCTAGAGCGGAAGTAGACTGCACCATTTTATCTGACAGGGAGAAGACATGTTTTTATTTCTCTCGTATGGATTATTGAAGTATTGTGATTCAATTGTGATGTGGAATATTGAATAAGTGTTTGATTATTGCATCCTAGAATTATTGCAGGATATTTTCCTGGCAAGTCTTATTATTGTTATATCTAATCCATATAATAAAGTAATGTATTAATTCATTGGACGTTATCATTATTTATTGAGTGAGAGAGGAGCTGATGCAGATTAATCATTATTCAAGTGATAGCTGAATCCATGACAATCAAGCAAAGTATTAGTTAACCATGCTACATTGGCAAGATTAGCATGTGTTACAGTTCAAAACTCAGTGGCTGGGTAATTATTAAGGCAAAAAAATGTGATCACGTCACACCACTACTTCATTCACTTCATGGGCTCACTGTACAAGCACGGATTGACTACAAACTCTCTGTTCTCTGCCACAACTTTTTCTCGAATTCCTTCCTTCCTATCTAAACGAACTTCTCTCT